CACTGACTCATCCCACAGTGTTTTCAGATGAGTAACGTAGAACATTCTCAGCTCAGACAAAGTGAAGGAAGGGGGGATTTAAATTCCATGCAACAAATGGAGTTTTTGGCACCTGGGAAAAGTACAGACCACCCACTCCATTAACTCCTTCAGGTCTGTAAACACATTTTGGTTCCAGAGATTTTACCTGGAGACATAAATAAGGTTCTAGTTAGATCTGTGTGGCCTTTCCAGGTCTTGTCACACAACAACACACAGCACATCAATTTATTTGCTGGATATTGCAGGTTCAGCTGGACACTGTGATTTCAGCATGCTAAGGAAATTGTTATTAAAACCTTTCCATTTATATTACATTCCTCAATGACATCATCAATCAGTGGGTCATCTGTGCGTCTCTAATTCATACATTTTTCATCTTTTATTGTACATTGTGAGAAGCTTATAGTGAGCAGTAAATTCAGAATAAGAAAATTCAGTACAGAAGAGGAGCCTGTACAACTTTGTAAGACCGGGGACCTGTTCACACCATATTGTTGCGGTTTCTTTTCTGTTATCACATGCTTTACCGCACTGTGCAGCGATGTGCGTTGAGTGCCTTGATGGAATACGGTGTCATTCATTCTGAATGGCACCCCAATGCACCTTCCAATGGACATCTATTTCAGCACAGCTCGTGACATTGCATTAACGTGCTTGGTGGAGCACTACAAAAAAATTGGTAAATGCACCATCCTTTGGCAGTGCACTGCAACGCACTATAGTTAGCCCCAGCGGTCTCACCAGGCCTGGTGTCACCCAGTGTGCACGTCATTACATATACACTTGACGCCATTACACGCGCGCATAATGATGTCACTTGCACTTCACTGCTGGCAGCTATCTTGGTGATGGATGCTGGCAAAGAGAGGAGGGGAAGTTCATCCAGCGGGATAAGGTATGCCGCCGGGTCCCCTACCCTCTCGTGCAGCTGTCGGGCTCTCGGACCGCGTGCCTGACTTTTCATAGGGCTGGACACCAAAATGACTGTCAGCACTGTCACACCCCCCCCCCCCCCCCCTTTG